TTCACTTTCTGCCATCAGAATGGTATCATCTCCATATCTGAGGTTGTTGATATTTCTTCCCACAATTTTAATTCCGGCTTGGGATTCCTCCAGTCTAGCCTTTGGCATGATGTATAAATTAAATAAGGAGGGAGGCAATATACAACCTTGTCATATATGAGTTTTCCAAACTTGCTGGCATATTGAGTATAGCATCATAACAGCGTCATCTTTTAAGATTTTAAATAGTTCCACTGGAATGCCATCACCTCCACTGGCCTTGTTGTTAGCCAGGCTTTCTAAGGCCCACTTGACTTCACTGTCCAGGATGTCTGGCTAAAGGTCAGCAACCACACTATCTGGGTTGTCCGGGACATCCAGATCTTTCTGGTATAATTCCTCTGGGTATTCTTGCCACCTGTTCTTGATTTCTTCTGCTTTTGTGAGGTTCCTACCAATTTTGTCCTTTATCATGTCCATCTTTGCACAAAATGAACAGATATCTAGTTTTCCCCTTTCTATTATTTTCCTCTATTTCTTTGCACTGTTCATTTAAGAAGGCCCTCTTGTCTCTCCTGGCTATTCTTTGGAAGTCTGTATTCAATTTTCTGTAACTTTCCCTATCTCCCTTGCATTTGGTTTCCCTTCTCTTCTCTGCTATTTGTAAGGCCTCGTTGGACAGCCACTTTGCTTTCTTGCATTTCCTTTTCTTTGGGATGGTTTTTGTTGCTGCCTCCTTTATAATGTTATGAGCCACCATCCATAGTTCTTCAGGCACTCTGTCCACCAAATCTAGTTCCTTAAATCTATTCTTCACTTCCACTGTGTATTCATAAGGGATTTGGTTTAGATTATACCTGACTAGCCCAGTAATTTTTCCTACTTTCTTCAGTTTAAGCTTGACTTTTGCTATAAGAAGCTGATGATCAGAGCCACAATCAGCTCCAGGTCTTGCTTTTGCTGACTGTATAGAGCTTCTCCATCTTTGGCTGCAGAGAATATAATCAATCTGATTTCAGTATTGTCCATCTGGTGGTGTCCATGTGTAGAATGGCCTCTTGTGTTGTTGGAAAAGAGTGTTTGTGATGACCAGCTTGTTCTCTTGACAAAACTCTATTAGCCTTTGCCCTGCTTTGTTCTGAACTCCAAGGCCAAACTTACCTGTTGTTCCTTTTATCTCTTGACTCCCTACTTTAGCATTCCAATCCCCTATAATGACAAGAATATATTTCTTTGGTGTCCATTCTAGAAGGTGTTGTAAGTCTTCATAGAATTGGTCAATTTCAGCCTCTTCAGCATCGGTGGTTGATGCATAAGCGTGGATTACTGTGATGTTGACAGGTCTGCCTTGGATTTGTATTGAAATCATTCTATCATTTTTGAGATTGTATCCCAGTACAGCTTTTCCCACTCTTTTGTTGACTATGAGGGCTACTCCATTTCTTCTACGGGATTCTTGCTCACAATAGTAGATATGGTAATTGTCTGAATTGAATTCCGCCATTCCCATCCATTTTAGTTCACTGACGCCCAGGATGTCAATGTTGATTCTTGCCATCTCCTGTTTGACCCCATCCAGCTTACCAAGGTTCATAGAACTTACATTCCAGGTTCCTATGCAGTATTTTTCTCTGCAACAATGGACTTTCCTTTCACTTCCAGGCATGTCCACAGCTGAGCATCCTTTCGGCTTTGGCTCATTAGCTTTGGCGCTAGTTTTACTTATCATCCGCTCTTCTTCAGTAGCATGTTAGACGACTTCCGACCTGAGGGGCTTATCTTTCAGTGTCATATCTTTTATCCTTTTGTTTCTGTTCATGGAGTTTTATTGGCAAAAATACTGGAGTGGCGTTGCCAGTTCCTGCTCCAGGTGGATTGCATTTAGTCAGAACTCTCCACTATGTCCTGTCCGTCTTGGGTGTCCCTGCACGGCATAGCCCATAGCTTCTCTGAATTACTCAAGCCCCTTCACCACGATAAGGCAGCACTCCGTGAAGGAGAAAATATATATAGAAGAATACCATTTACTTATAAATGAATTCCACCATTTACTCAAGCCATATCCTTACACTCCAAAGGCTTTGATGAGAAGCCACAATTCAACTTGTACTGAAATAAGGCCAATACTCATTCACTGGAGAGGGCCTTCCACATCTGGGTTGCCAGAACAAAAGAGGCCCTCTCCAGTGCCCTCACACAGAGTAATGCTCTCCCTAGTGCGACACAGAGGAGGGCTTCTCTGGTGGATCTCAATGCACAGGCATATATGTATAGGAAGCGCCACTCTTTCAGATATCAAGGTCCCAGGCCGTTTATTTGACTGGTCAGAACATTCACACAATGCTGTCAGAAAGAGGACTTGAAGATATAATGTGGAGGGATAACAACAGGATGCCATCATACAGCAATTTGGACCAATCAGTCTGTGAGCAAAACACAAATTAAGGAAGGCTGTTTGAATCATCCTGAGTGAGTCTATTACTTTAATCATCAGGGGGAGCTTTGATTCTTATCCTGCTAACAGGTGAGATGATGGCACTACCTGTGCTATACTCTGTCCCATCAGAAAGATGGGACAGGGTATAGCAAGAAAAAAGTGCACTATTCTCTCTGTAACAACATGCTTGTTTTGCTGGTTCTTTTTCTGTTACTATTGAACATGTCTCATTTTTATTTTTGACATTACCATACTTCATCAATTTGCCTGTTTGATCTCTGTACTATACTGTTGTTGTTAGTATTTGTGATCTTTCATCAAAAAACCAGCATATGAATAAATCATGGTGTGTATCCCCTAGCTGTGGACACGTGCAAATCTAGTTACATGGTCAGGGAATACAGTGGTGCCTCGCAAGACAAATGTAATTCGTTCCATGAGTAGCGCTGTCTTGTGAAAAACTAGTCTTGCGAAAAGCGGTTTCCCACATGGGAAACCTCACAAGACAAATGAATTTTTTTCATCTTTCGAGGCATCAGTCTTGGGGGAAAAAATCATCTTGCGAAGCACAACCATAGAAGAAGCCATCTTGCGAGGCACCCTAGCGATCGCAAAAACCATTCGTCTTGCGGGTTTTTCATCCCGCGAGGCATTCGTTTTGCGAGGCACCACTGTATAGCAAAGGTGTCACATTTTTGTCCAGTGTTTCATGTTGCATGTTTTTAGGAAACAGAGATGGACAGAGTGAGCAGCTGTCCTGGGCAAATTCACTTAACAATCATACCTGTGAAGAGAGGGTCTTAAAAAGGGATAGGATAGGTGGGTGGGTGGAAGTCAGTCATGCAGTTTCCTTCCATACCATTCCACTGCCTCTAGTTGCTTTTCATCCTTGTTCAGTTTGTTGTAAACAGCTTCTCTGAGGTCATCCAGTCTGGCTGATGGCGGAAGACCAAGTAACTTGCACATGAGCTCTTTCTAAGTGTAAGGAAGTGTTAAAACATAACTATGTGAAAACTGAATCAATGAAAAGTCAAGGGGGAAAACTAAAGGTGAAGAAGGAAATGTACAAGAAATCAAGTTACAAGAACCAGGGGTTATGCACAATTCAGAATGGATTTAACTCCTCAGGGAAGGCATCGGCCAGTTCTCCCCAACCCGGTGCTCTTCAGGTGCTTTGTGTTTCAATGGCTGTGACACCTCATCACCGGCTATATTAGCCGAGGCTGATGTGCACTGGAGTCTAAAACATCTATAGGGCACCAGCTTAGGGTAGGCTAACATTTATAATAAAGTACACATACAGGTGTTATTCCATAAGAATATGCCACATTCACATTCTTCTAATGGAGCTGCTTCTGTGCCATCAGTTTCCTACAATTCTTCAAACCATAAGAATAATCTGCACTGAAAGCTGCCTTCAGTTTTCCAAGAACACAACTGCCCTTGTGCTTTCCTTACATTCTCTCTTGCTCCCATGATTCTTTCTCTGAAATACACTCAGTCACCATAATCATGGAGCAAAAATTTCATTAGTCTGCAACTCCTTTCAGACTAAGACATTTATTTCAGTATGAGCTTTCATGGGCACAAGTAGAGTCTAGAGAAGTCTGCTTTTTGGACTACAACTCCCAGAATCCCTCAGCTAGCACAACCAGAGGTGGTCTAGGACCTGAAGTCCAAAAACCAGGAATTTTTTTAAAAGGCCTAATAGAGTATGGAGTATGGCTACACAGTCTGACACTGGATTGTACAATAATTTTACATAGAGGTGTCTCAATCCAACATGACTCTGTATTACATAAACCTTCAAAGCCCTTAGGCAATACTCACCCAGGTTACTGAAGTTCTTGTTGCATTAAGCATAGGACACGGCTCAAGACTGATCAGTCCTAATTTCACAAAGCCTCCTATAGTTCTAGAATAACCCTGGAAGCACAGAAACAACATATCAGAAAATTCTACAGAACACAGATCCTTATAGTCCCTTATTGTCCATCAAGCAAGCCAAATGGTTAAGGAATGGCTAAGAATCTTCTCTCCTATTCCAACCTTTGTGGTTACATGAAGGCACAACACTCAGGGAGGAGGATCATATTATGTCTTTATGCAGCTGCACAATATTATAGGACATATAGCTGGTTTCAGGAAAATAAACAAGAATTTATGCAACCCAATTCATTGGGACAGAAAAAATACCAAACTATTATACAGAAAATCAATTTGCTTCTCCTGTAAATAGAAACAGGGAAGTACAGTGGTGCCTCGCTTAACGAGCACCCCGTTTAAAGACGAATCCCCATAGCGATGAGGTTTTTGCGATCGCAAAAGCAATTGCATAACGATGTTTTCAATGGGTAAACATCGCTTTGTGATGATCGGTAAGCATTTCGCTTACCGATTATCGCATAACGATGTTTTAAAAACAGCTCATTGGTGGATCCAAAAAGGTCACCGGGTAAACAAAATGGCCCCCCACAGTGTTTACGCACCCTTTCCTCGCTTACCGGGCAGCGAAAATGGCGGCCAGATGGAGGATTTCCGCATAGCGGTGAGTTTTTTCCCATAGGAACGCATTGAACGTGTTTTAATGCGTTCCTATGGGTTTTTTCCCCCGCATAGCAACGAATCCGGATAGCGACGATTTTTTGGGAACGGATTATCGTCGCTATGCAGGGCACCATTGTACAAGGCATACAATATGGCATCTCATCTTTATCTTAATACAGAAAAACTGACCTGAATGCATCCCAAATGTATATAAAATATTTTTGTCTGTATTTTGAAAAAAGTATTATGCTATTTTCATTTGTTAGTGTTTGTTTTCATTTCACCTTGTTGTACACCACTCAGAATAATGTGTTGCACTAATGGTGTGGTATATAAATCAATAAAATAAAATAAAACATTACACACACAAACATGTATGATCAAGCAGCTCATATACCTACCCTGTACCGCAAAGTTCCTCTTAAGAGAGTATGAGCTGATTGAATACCATATGGCTCAGCATATTTTGTGCTGTCTCTGTTTGGAAAACCTTCCAAATTTAATCCTGGGAAAAAATCCATGACAGTAACAGAATCAAGCAAAGCTCCTCCGGCTGGAATACTGACAATCTACGGATTGTGAAAAACAACAATCATGTAAGTGTGCTAGACAGGAGGACAGAGCTCTTCCACTTTCTCAAGTTCCTCTTCAGGGATATTTACACCGCATAAGGAGGAAGGCTAAGGACCCTGACAAGCCCATTTCCATTTCACACCCTTCTACCTCTAGGGGGCTGCAAGACCACCAAGCAGGTGCACAGTCCCCAGTCAGCTCTCCCTTCTCTGTCCTGACACCAGATTTCCAGTATACATTATTTCAAACACCCTACCCCATTGATAGGAAACCATTTGAGATTAGGATCAAGGTGTGGGGAATAGGTGGCTCACCAGGTGTTGCTGGATTCAGCCCCAGGAAGTCTGACCTGTGGCAAAGTATGTTGGGAATACTAGTTCATCAGCATCAGGAGGGTCACAGATCCCTTACTCTAATGTAACCGCAAGACCAAGTCCTCTCATTTTTACAGCACATGTTTTGCACAGTGTATAAATTGTTTCCATTTAATGATTTATAAATTTGGGTCTATTGCTATCTGAAAGAAAGCTGAAACTTAAGAATCCAAACAACAAAAAAATAAGAGGACAACTGTGCTTTCCATCACAGAGATGTTTCTGGCAATCTCTCACATACTAAAGCAAAGATAGACCACCTGTTGCAAAACAGTGTAACAAGGAACGAGTTGCCCTCAAACAGGATTCAAGCCCTGATTCTTATTACCTGAACCAGACAGGCAGTATGTGGACCACTTACACGACAGCACTACAAGCAACCTTTAAGGCTTCTGAGTACAGAAATTGATTTCTAAAGGCAGATCTTCTGAGCACTACCATATTTGCCGGCGTATAAGATGACCCCAACATTTCCACTCAAAATACAGTTTGTTATATACTCGCCGTATAAGACTACCCCCTCTTCCGCACACCTTCCACACACCAAATAAAAGGTGCTATTCATTGTCACCAGTGTACAGCCGCAGCGCAACCACAGCGCCTCCGGCCCGCCCCTGCATCTCCCTGTGACCGGCACTAGTGCGCAAGTGTGCATGTGTGAGCTCTGCGTAGACAAGGGGCGGGCCGGAGCACCGCTGCTTCCCGCTGAGCAGAATGGGCCAGTCACGTCGAAAAGGCTGGCGCCCATCTCGCTGCTGATGCTCGCCGCGGCCACGCTGGATACCGCGCAATACTGGACGGTATGTAGAATGAGGTGGGCAGGCATTGGGAGGCTACTATGGGCACTGGGTGAGCATCGGAAGGCCACTATGGGCAGCTATGTTTATCCCCGCTGAAGTGCACCCGGCATATAAGACGACCCCCCCCACTTGGAGGCATGTTTTTCAGGGCAAAAAAGTAGTGTTATACACCAGCAAATACAGTACTTCTCAACTTGCTAGAATTTATTATTTATCAGGTCTGTGACCATACAATGACTGAATTGACCGCTTATTAGCTTTCAAAGGGTCTACTTCAGATTATGCAATTTGACAATTTAAGGCAATCCCACAGGGTGATGAAGTCTGAACATGTGCCCCCAAGTGAACCCCATCCTGTACTGCATTGGAATGAAGACATTTGGGTAGGATGCAGTGTTAGAATGGTCTATTAATGTGAAAACAGCAAATTGCAAGTAAAAAAAAAAACCTTCACCAGATAAAACAAACCTGCACTTTTAAGGATGGAATGTTATTTGTCGTTTTACTTTGTTGCACACCCTCTGCTTAAGAAGATTAGTGGAGTGTGCATGCACATGGTCTCTCTAAGCAGATTTATATTGGGATGAGCAACTTATGGTCTGCAGATGTTCCTGTAATTCTTTATTATGGGTTCTGCAGGCTAGAAGTCATGGGCGCTGCAGTCCATGAACATAGAGGGAACCATATTTTTTGTGACTCATCTACGTGGACATGACAGAGAAAATTAAGGACTTAACCATTCTTAATGGAACAAACATGCATGCATCATGGGGAAAAGACAGAGTGCAAGAACATGAATGCTGCAAGTTTCATACAGTGAAATGACTCTGTGTTACATAAAACAGCTACGTAGACCAACTCCTGACACACTCCAGTAAGAACCAGGTCAAGCCTGATCATTCTGCACTATATAATACTGGGAGCCACAACAATTCCCTGGGCCTTTTCCCACTCACCCAGCTCATGTTATAGGCCTGTAATTGCAATTGCATCCTGAAAGAGCTAACAGACCTAGCCAAATTCTTTAGCAACTGCTGTTCTCTAGTTCATATACAACTGATTTATGAAAGTGACTGGATAACTCCACCATTGGCAGATTTTGCAAAATTTTCTCTCTTGGGGGGGGGGGATTTAGGTGGACTCCAGCTCCCAGAATCCCCTGAACGTATGACAGTGGCCATACTGGCTAGGGGATTCTGGTAGGTATAGTCTTTCCTAAGACCTGCCTGTAGATTACGTAAAAAAAGGTGGGGGACATTAGCTTTGGAAAGAAGCTACAGGAAAACAAGAGGCCTTTTCTGTATTTATCTAGTTATTTCTGTACCCACCCCACTAACAGAGCAACCATTCAGATGAAAATTGAGAGCCTGCAGATGCCAATATAAATTCAGCTTTCATAGCCCCACCTTCTGCTTTGCCCCAGGCCCTACACTGCCTTTTGAAATATCTCATCTGATGAAGACTTCTAAAAATTCCGAAGGCCTGCACACATTTTTGTTCCATTCTGGTTGGACTAATAGAAGAATTCCACAAATATGGAACAAACACTAACATTCTCTCATACACAGTACAACTGAGAGATAATCCACTCTCTTATTTTACAGATATAAACAGAGATTACTTCACCTCCCCATTTTTTAAGTATGTGGCTGGCTGAATCGTATTCAGCAGAACACCCTGTGGACTCCAGCTGAATTTATATCTCAGGGGATTGTCAGAATGTTCCGGAGCAGGCAAGCCGCCACAGAAAGATGTGTAGGACACCACCTGTCATTAAAGAAAAGAAATGTCTCTCATCACATTCCATCATTTAAAATCAGCCAACAGTGTCCAAACTAATTTAGTAGTGCTTAGGTCTGTGTCACCGAATCAGCAATAATAACAAGAACAACTATTATTATCATCATTGTACAGATCTCTTATACAGACATCTACATACGTATACAGAAATGCATTTGTTGAAAAAAAATTAAACCCAAGTTCACTATCCCCCTCATTAAGAGCATGTGTTCCACAGAATGCACACATCCTATTAAAAAAGCAAAATAGTAGACATATTTAATCTTATTTAAACCCACCAACACCAATCAAACTAAAATCAGTTGACTAAAGCTGGAATTTTGTGTAAGGATACTTAGGGGTAAGTGCCTCTAAAATAAAAAAAGATGTATTCTGAGAAGGGATAAACACCCCATTTGTCCCTTTGGAAAAGAATAGGAGGTACGTATGGCAGTCATAATAACGGCACAACTAACTTTAACAAGATCCTTTATGTGAAAAATTGTGCCCACACATGAAATTCCAAAGAAAACTTGGGAATTACCCTGCCTCTGCATGTAGCAGAAATTGAAGCATGGGCTGAGATGACATTTGGTAGCAGCGAGGAGGGTTGCACAGAAAAAAATGAATTCTCTAATGCAGTGGTCCCCAACCTTGAGCCTCCAGATGTTCTTGGACTACAACTCCCAGAAGCCTTCACCACCACCTCTGCTGGCCAGGATTTCTGGGAGTTGAAGTCCAAGAACATCTGGAGGCCCAAGGTTGGGGACCACTGCTCTAATGGATCACAGCTAACACAAAAAGGGCATTTTAAAAAAAGAATTATGTAGATGGTAGAGGAGACACCTCTTAAAATAACTGGTTTCCTTTTCAGCTTACCGTAGCTCCCACTTCTTTCACTTTATCAATGCTCTCCATTGCCAGCATATGGTCAAGCCCAGGATCCAAACCTATTTCACTGACAACTGTAATACCAGCTGCTTCTACGCTAAAAACAAAAGGGCACAGAGTTCAAAACAGAAGACCGTCACAAGCAGGGCATCTCTACAGACTGCCATACCATCCATTCAGTTCACTGCTTCTTGAGTTACAAGGTGAGGGCCACATCCCCAAGGTCAAACTTCAGCCACTCTTTTACAAGCCAAGACTCTTTTCAGCAAAGCAAAGGGAAGCGGCCATCTTTATTCCCTAGATTTCCTCAACTGTTGGATATAAGTGGGCTTACAATGCACTCCGTGACCAGAATTCAGAGAACACTGCTTTCCCCCTTCCAGCTCTCCCTTTTGCTGCAGGAGGAATTCAACCAGACAGCCTCCCTTAAGGTGGCCTTAATCCACAACTGATCCGAGCAGGGGCTGTGCAAGAGCCAGGAAAGGGTACAACTCACAAGAAAGTAGCACTCCACTCACCCAAGTGGCATGAGTCTGGAGAAGATATTTGCGAAGGCTTTCACGGCCAGGATCTAATGGTTGTTGTGGGTTTTTCGGGCTCTTTGGCCGTGTAGAGGACTGGAGTAGGAACTCTATCCATGAGTCCTCTGAAGATGCCGGCCACAGAGACTGGCAAAACGTCAGGAAAAACAACCTTCAGAACACGGCCAAAGAGCCTGAAAAACCCACAACAACCATCTGGAGAAGATACTTCTGTGGACCACAACTCCCAGCAGGAGTGACTTTTCCAAGGTCTGCTCAGTCACACGAAGTGTGTTCCAGTGTGCAGTCAAGAGAAGTATATGAGAAACATCAGATGTCCAGTGAACTGAGATAAGATTTCAAAATGACCTACCTCTCCTGTAGCTCCTTCATAGCAGGTGTCAGGTAACTGGCAGTCACTAAATTTACTTTCCTCTCAATACATTTCTTAGCAACCAAAGGATGGTATGCATATGGTAGCAAACTAAAGAGACAAAAAGTAAAGAAAGGCTGGACACCAAGAAACAATGGCCTTGCTTAACAAGCTCTTCCTTTGCCCCTGAAATGAGGAAGCAACTGATTATGTCCAGCCATGTATCAAAAGATCATTTAGGGATGGCATAATGTAAGGAAGACAATGTAATGCCATTCTCCCACAGTGTGGCCAACTTCATCTGTTGGAGTAAAAGCAACAAAATGCTTTACGGCCCCTTCATGGCACTTTTTGGGTGTCTACAAGTGTCACAAAAGAGGCAATGCCAAGTATTTAAATTTAGAATCTTCCATGCAAAAGTCCTCTAGATTTCAAACTATACTTCTTTTAGAAGTAGGACTGGTGCTGCCTTGATATTAATTTTGGTGCTAAGCCAAAGCATTTTTTTATCTGCCTAGAGGTTTTATGCTGATATTGGTAGCTTTTTTTTTAAAAAAAGTTGGTTTATTTGCTTTGTTTACTGTCTCTCAATTTCCATTTTTCTAAAACATATCATTTTTAAAAATATTGCATCAAAATGGTCAAAATCCTTTTAGTGCAGTTCTACCGGGGTAAATCAGATCAGGACAGTACAAATAGGTACTATAAATTAATTTAAAGCTTCCTTCCCACCCCCTTGTTTCGGCTTCCGAGGCTCTGTGGGGCTCCCTTTTGCCCTGTGGATACCTTTGGGAGTCTTGGGATGGAGGGGAAGATCCAATAGTTAAAAATCACCACCAGATCACTAGCAGCTGCATCTTGAGGCTCCCAATGGCTTCCCCAGGGCAACTGGGAGACCTAGGGAGCCTCAGAAGCTGAAATCAGGGAACAGGAAGATTTAAATTATTTCCTATGCTCTGATCCAGTTTACACTGGAAGAATTGCACCAACAGGATTTTGCTGAATAGTTCAGTGGTTTAGGCATCCAGCTGAGGAGCCAGAGTTCAATTCCCCACTGCGCCTCTTTGATAGGAGCTGGAATTAATGATCCATAGGGTCCCTTCTGCTGTTCTGAGATAATGGCGATGATGAGAATAATTTATATATTATGCAATGGTGACTGATTTATGCATTTTGAACAAAACAAAGCAGCCTGCAATTCTTCACTCTCACCACCTGGATAGCTCAGTAAAGTCATACTGATATATTCTGCCACGGCTCACTGTCACTGCTAGAATGAGTAAAGTATTGGTGTAGCCAGCAGAACACTGACCTAATAATAAGGTCATGTTTCTTCACCAGGGATGATAATCTCTCCTCATCTTCAGTGACGTCTGCAACAACAGTAACAACATTCTTGTATTTCTTCATCAGCTGCTCAAGCTGGTTCTTCATAATGGATACTGTTACAAAACAAAAAAAAAGCAACTAAAACAGGCAAACCAACACTCTTCTCTTGAGCTATTGCCACATGATATGCTGGTTCAGAAAATCTAACCATGTGCTATCATACAACCTTGCCAAATAATTTACTTGGTATGCAACTTGCCACCAAAAAGAGGCTGTACACTTCTCCAACCTCTCTTCCCTGAGGCTCCTTGAATCTATAAGGTAAGCCTAAGTGCCACCCCAGTTTCCTGTTCCTGCCCCAGTGCTACCTGGGAGGTTTTTATTTCTGAACAGGTTTCCAGTTTTGGCCTTTCTCCCAGGTAAGCCAGATTTAGGTATCTGGAAGGGATCTGTCAGTATAATTCCCACAATGGAAAATTATGGGATCTGCAGTCAAAAAAAAAAAACCCTCTCAACTACATTAGAAGGAAAAATTAAAGATTTTCTTGATGTGGATGGAGGGAAAAAGTGGCTGGCCAAAGAAGTGTCAAGAGGCAGTAAGCATCTACACAAAAGATGTCATGTCTTCCCTGTTAAGAAAAATGTTACATACAAAAACAGTGACCAAAAAGTAGTTTTTTCACTACTGAAGTGCTTTGCTGCATAATGCATATGACAAGAATGCAAGGAGGGGGTTGTTGTAAATGTGTTTCCAACAAGCTTCACTAAAATTAGGCTAGTCCATGCAGGAAAGCAGTACCTGTTCTAGGATAAAGGCTCAGCAGAGGAACTATTGAGAGGGGAAAAGAAATCAAGATCATCAGATTAAAAGACTGAAACGAGGGCTCGGTTGTAGAAATTCTAAGCCATTCCAGCCAAGCACTCAGACGGAGGGAGAATGGGTATTAGGCAGAACAGCAGCAGCCAGGCTCTGTGGAGGCTCAGGGAGTTTTTGACATAGCTTGCTTGCTAGTGATGTAGCTTGCTAGCTAGTTACACCACAAACCTATTCTCAAATCTCACTCTTCATATTTCTGAAAAGATGCCAGTGCAGGAATTGGTAAAGTTTATTTGAGCTTGCAGTCAGACTGAACACAGTTTAGAAGCAGACCGTTGCATAATTATGTTGCATAATCTGGGTTCCCAAAATATTATTTCCTCCTCAGACAAGTGCCTAAAATAGGTACACATTCTACCTTCAGGTCATGCAAAAGATGAAATTAAATCAATGGGCTCATTCTCTCTCTCTCTCTCTCTCTCTCATGGGCTCATTCTTTTGGAGGCACATGCTTCTCTCTCTCTTTTTTTTTCCCTTTACAGCTTTTCAGAACATAGCCCAAACATTAATGCATGGAAACAGGACTGATTCTGCCATTCAGCAGAATGATGCCAATTTGACTCAGGCAGAAGATGTTGGAATGGAAACAAGCAACGTTTTAGAAGAGAGACTTGTGCAGCCAGACTTGCATCTCTAAGCTAAGCTGTTGCCTTCAGGTATAACAAAGAATACTATCCTATCACCACAGTTGAAACAAGATTCCTGTGCTGACTTCTGTGCATGGAACGGGAAAGGGTTCTTTACCTCAGGCAACCAATGCCTTGGGCAAACCATGGGTGGGACACACAGTCAAATACTATCCTATCACCATAGTTGAAACAAGATTCCTGTGCTGACTTCTGTGCATGGAACGGGAGAGAGTGCCATCCTGTTCTTTACCTCAGGCAGCCAATGACTTGGGCAAACCATGGGTGGGACACACAGTGTAGTCACTTCATGAGCTTCCATTCCCAAGGGAGTTACATTCATGGAAGGATTCCTGGCATGATTGGAATTCTCCTTCTCTGAATGGAAGCTCCTTCTGTGGCTGGAGGCACCTGTGATGCATTCCACCAAACCGTACCAGCCCAGATAATAATAAAAAATAATGAACACTGATGCCAGTATGCACACATAATCCATACCAGAAATCTTAGCATTACTTCTGCCATTTCAATTGTACCATTTTAGTGTTACAGTCTTACTTACAAACCTGCTGTTATTTCAACATTAGGATCTCTAGTAAGATATTCTATCACAGGCCCAGAAACATATCCAGATCCAAGTATTAAGACCTTCTTTTTCCTATCCATGGCCAGTGACTGAGTGTACTCCCTGGAACAGACACAAGAAAGGAGAACACATAAACAAAGTAGGCTTTGCACCGTGTGTTTTAAGGCAGTGGTCCTCAACCTTGGGCCTCCAGATGTTCTTGGACTACAACTCCCAGAAGCCTTCACCACCATTTCTGCTTGCCAGGATTTCTGGGAGTTTAAGTCCAAGAACATCTGGAGGCCCAAGGTTGGGGACCACTGTTTTAAGGAGTTCTCTTGTAGGTTAGTATGGCGGTTTTAATGCTAACATTAGCCAAAGCCATTTCAGCATTCATTTGGAAGGGGAAAGAGACCAGCAAAACAATTGATACATAATTAGAGATGCATACAATTCAAGTTGTCCCTATCTGGGTTGAGTCGTCTTCATGCCTGCATATGTGTTGTGCGGGCATGGGGCCTGCCTCCCCTGCACACTCAACCGTTCCTCCAGTGACATGCACTCCCTCCTTGCCTCCCCAGAGAGACAACCCATTCACTCTTTGCAGCGCCCTCTTCCTTCTTCCTCAGCTAAGCACTCAAAGGATTCCTCATTTGCCTCTGAGTGGTCGGCTGCGGGAGAAGGCAGAAGGGGACACTGCAAGTGGTGAGTGGGTCGTTGCAGTGGGATGCACAAAAGGAAGTGTGCATTGCCCGGGGAATGGATGAGCATGTGGGGGAGGCAAGCCTCGTGTCCACACAAAACCTGTGCAAGCACAATGACAACTTGGCCCAGACAGGGGTAACTTAATTTGTGCACATATCTATATACACAATATCGAACACTTAGAACAAAAATCAAATGCAAGCTTCTTTAGAAAACATATTGCAATACAAATCGCTTAAAGAAAGAATAAAATCCATGTTCATGAAATTCTAGACTTTTAACTTATAAAGCCCTAGCATCAACAGGCTTGAAATCAGGGGTTGGCAGCTGTGGTCCTCCAGCTGTATTTTGGACTGCAACTCTCATGCTCTCCTTTGGAAAACAACTGTTATTTGGGTTATTAAATGGTGAAAGAGAGCCATTACCTATTTACAAAGTGGATCACCACTCCTGAAGCTTCCAGAAGCTACATTATTTTCTCTTTTTTTCCAGAAAATGAAGGGGCTAAGGGATAGTTGTGGGCTGCAAAAAGAGCCTGAGGAGGGACACAGGCCTCCGCTGCTAGCTTTGACTCATCTTTTGTTTTGTGGAGCTTTAAAAAACAATTTTTTCACAGGGAGACCTGACACCATTTTCTTTACCCTATGCCAAAATTAAAAACCACAAACACATACAGAACAGCTCACTGGATTGCAGTTCAGATGGTTAAGATTTCTTTCAGGGTCGACGATTTTGCAAGATGTGGCATCAACTACAGATTTATCGCACCCAAAGGGAACAATGTATTCTCATATCAAATGATCCCAAGAGCATGATAGAACTACGTTTATTTGCTACCTACAAAGAAGTATGCCATCCACTACCATAGAAAAATGCCAGCTACTACCATATCCATGCTTAGCTAGGTTATTGACAGAGGTCCATTTAACTTGTAGAGCTCCTGATCAAAGTGGTTGTTGTGGGTTTTTCGGGCTCTTTGGCCATGTTCTGAAGGTTGTTCTTCCTAACGTTTCGCCAGTCTCTGTGGCCGGCATCTTCAGAGGACAGCACTCTGTGCTCTGGTGTAGTTGGCTAGGGAGTGCAGTATTTATGGCTGTGAGAGAGGCTTTTGTCTTTTTCTGTAGATGGGTGATTAGTGTGTTTTGTTAGGAAGAACAACCTTCAGAACACAGCCAAAGAGCCCAAAAAACCGACAACCACCATTAGATTCCGTCCGTGAAAGCCTTCGCGAATACTCCTGATCAAACATCACCTCATAAAACAACATAGTACAAATCCATCAACCAAAAAATGCACACAAGCACCAAACTTTACAACTTTAGTGAAATATATTTATTTGTGGGGAACTCCTACATTACCTGCTCTCCCTCAGTTTCTGGATATATTTATATTTATCAGTCAATGAACCATTGGATGCAATCACTGCCTAAAAAAATACACAAAATATAGCATTACTTTCCTGGCAGCTGACTTCAGCCTGCTGGAGTTAAGAAAAGAAAAGCAAACTGGTTTGCACAACTTACATCTCTCACTACAGGTGAGTAATTCTGACTTTCAAAGGGCTCTGAGGCATCAGAAAGGAGCTGCGGAGATCAACATTTTCCAGTTAGAATGCTTGCTTTCACAGACCCTCGTCCTCAGACTGCTAATGACATTTCCAATATAAAGAGAGCCATCGACAGTGGAATTTCATTAAAACCGTCAATACATGACCTTGGATTAAAACATGGGCTATGTTGCCACTTGCTCGTATCACCCTGACCCAAAATTCTCCTCAATTTTAGTTATTTAAATTCTCCTTCCTAGAGTCACTTCCTCTCCCCCCCCCTTTTTGTCCCCTTTCATTTTAAAACACGGTAAGAAAGCTAGGATGCAACTGCAACAGGGGGAAGTGGTAGTGAATATAGCAATGGCAGGAAAGCAACTCAGTCAAAAAGCAAAGCAAAAAAAAGCAAAACGTGCTGCTTATATACCGCCCCATAGTGCTTCAAGCACTCTCTGAGCAGTTTACAAGTTAATTATGCAGGCTACACATTGCCCCCACCCCAGCAAGCTGAGTACTCATTTTACAGACCTTGGAAGGATAGAAGGCCGAGTCAACCTTGAGCCGGCTACCTGGGATTGAACCCCAGGTCATGAGCACAGTTTTGGCTGCAATACAGCGGTTTAACCACTGCGCCACAAAGCCATCTGAGCAACAAGCTCAGTGAGACTGAAGAGAAGACCAGTGCTGGTGACAGAGTATCCTAAGGCTCTGGACAGGAAAATTGAATCTCCTTGCCAGCACAAGGTGGATCTCCATCTTTGGGCTGTGGCCCCACCTACTACCGGCTTTGAGATTGCTTGCCAGGAGCCAGTTCGGTCCTTAAGAAAATAAAGGCTCCCCACCCCCTCCTCAGAGATATCATGTATTCCTACATGTTGAGTCAACATTTCACTGGAAAACTTGGGAGTACACAACCCACAAGGAAGGTGAGAGATCTGTAACGCCACAGGAAACAAGAGCTGGAAAGAACAAAAAGGTGTTTGGGAGCAAGAGGAAGGACAGAAAAGAAACAAGGGACAGAGTTAATTCAGGATACATTCTATTTGGGATCCCAATTTTATTTAAATAGAATTATCCTAAATATTTTCTGCAGTAAGAAGCCTTCAGGGTACCCAGGGTGCTGTGGTAGATATAGTAGCAGACTAGGACTCTATAGACCAGGGTTTGAATCCCCGCTCAGCCATGGAAACTCACCACTCCTTAAATATTTCACTGAGCTTGAAAGCCCTATTACGGTTACTATTTAAGTCAGTTCTGACTTGATGGCACATAGCTAATTAGTAGAAAGTCTGGAACTATAGAGTTCTTATTTTTGTAAACAGAAACATGTTACACTAAAATGTAGGTTCTTGGAACACTTTCCCCTAATCTCTTTGTTTCTGGCCAAGGAGATGGGAGAGCCCCCCCACAAAGTTGAATTGAAAAGCAAGCTGATTGGGACAACCTTCCGTATCAACTAAAAGGCATTTATTCAAGGAGTTTATTAAGCGACTACCTGGCTGGAAAGCTCAGCAAGTTGGGCACTTGGCAAATGAACCAGAAATGAAGAGTTCGATTCCATGCTGTGCCTCTTATGAGAAGAGCCAGCCTGTGTAGCCTTGGGCAAGCTGCGCAATGCAGAGCACCCACCAAAGAAAGGAACAGTAAACTACTTCTGACCAACTTATACCTACAAAATGCTAGAAAGGGCTTCCGTTAAGTCAGAAGTGACTTGACCGCACATTCTTATTATTAATGAAACTGATCAGTATACTAAGTGAGAGCAGAGGCACAGAGTTCAGCAGGCCTTATTTCTACCGGTCTAATTTAATCACTTGAAGCATGATCTAGTAAATCTAGTAAAAAGCAAACTTATTTTTATACAAGGTATAATTTACACATTATAACTGATAATTTAATTTACACATGGTAATTTATATTTATGGAAGATAGGAACTGCTCTGTATCTGACATTTTGAAGGGGTGTACAATAGGATAAAACAAGCAACTAGAGAGTTAAAATAAAAAGTAATTTAAATAAAAAGTAATATATTTAAGAAGAACTGGCATTTATTACTCAGGAATTGATTTTCTGCTTGACATAAAAAATGGAAAAGTGTGGGCCCCTAACTAATTTCAGGTGGAAGGGCTTCACACAGGACGGAAAGTAATACATGGAAGGCCCTGCTCCTGATGGATTCCAGGTGGATCTCAGGCTGATGCAAGACAAGTATATAGCTACACTAATAGGGTTTTCAAGGTAAGTGAGATATTTAAGAAGAAGGTTTACAAGGGGCACCCTCACAATGAATTTACTTGGCTGAGAAAGGATTCAAACTCAGGTTTTCTGCATGCCAATCTATCGGTCTATCCACTACACCAATGGTCCCCAACCTTGGGCCTCCAAATGTTCTTGGACTTCAACTCCCAGAAACCCTGGCCAGCAGAGGTGGCGGTGAAGGGTTCTGGGAGTTGTAGTCGAAGAACATCTGGAGGCCCAAGGGTGGGGACCACTGCACTACACCATACCGGGTAATGTTATTTCAAATGCCATACACCAAAACCTTGAACCTGGCTGGGGAACACACAAGCCACCAATGGAGAACCTCCCAGAGAGATATTACATATTGATACCTGAAGCAACACTGACAGCACCAGGGCAGATGCTTAACCTGTGTTAGCTGGTGCTTCCAAATCAGACTCCAGAGAAGCCTCATGCCAAGTGCATCTCAGTAATAAAATCCTGGGGCTATATCAATGCCCACATCACTGTAAACAACTTATATCTGTGCAAGAAGAACTGCAGGTGATCTACCAAACAGGGCTTGGGGGGGGGGGAATACTCTGAACTGCTGAGATCACTTGGGCCCCAAATGGCAAAGACAGATCTAGGAATGGAATGGGTTAAGCGTGGCCTCTGAACCCCCTTAATATTTTTTTAAAAACAAATACAAAAAGGCCCCGTCCACCCTTGAAGTATGGAGGTTGTCATGTTTTGCTCCCAACTTATTTTAACTGCAAGGGAGCTTTTTCTCCCAAAATGAAGAGTGATGTCCGGTCACTCCCCTCTAAAACCAGGAACTATCCTATCTTCCTGACACAGGGACTACCTAACCACAGGCTTCAAACTCAATTCCCTGACTCCTTTCCAGCATTAATCCAAGCATCAGTTAAGAATTTGCACAACCATACAAGGTTATAATACTGAAGAGTGCTTTTTCTTAATTTATTTTGTTTTGAAATTAGAGGTGAGGAAGCCTAGTCAGCATACCTGTCACTGCAAACTACCTCTGTCATGAAAGTTCAAGGCTGGTGTAGGAGGTCTCGGACACTTTGGAGAATGCTTATATATATATATACTGTATAACATTTATATATATAAATTTTATAAAATACATATACAGCACAAAGACATCTGTCAGGACATTCGCTCCCAAACCTGACTTTTGACACTTCTAGCTTATTCTTTGCACTATGTCGACATAACAGCCATTAACACCTGCAAATAACAATTTATGTCTCATCCAGTACCATTAACATGCTACCCCATAGTTTCCAGGGCAGTGAAATGCAATGAGCAGGAGGGGGAAAGTCAATTGTGGGTGGCTCTTCAGTTATTCAAGACAACTGAATGTGCAAAGTCACTAAGTGAAGCTTTTTAAAGCATGGAAATAAACACTAGCAGCTACCAATTCCTGGGGATCATGCTTGTGTGAAAAGATGCAGCTACAGGGGCCGCTAGAAAAACTAGCAACCTGATTTCAAAGTTTAGAATTCAATAAACAGCCCTTCAGTCTACCAAAGTACTAAGGTTGTTCCTTTAATATGACAGCAGAGGGAACTTTACCTGACTCAACTTCCAGGGATCTTCTAAATAAAGCAAGGTGTGCATTGAATTTTGACATTTGATTTTAATTGTATTGACTAATGCATAAAGCTGTTTCCCAAATATACACTTGTACACAAACACACACACCCATTTTTGCCTCATTTGTTCACTACTATCATTTTCCTAGCTTCACGACAGAACAATTTTCTAAATTTTATTTATTTAACATATACATCCCCCTCCATCTCCCACACTGGTATTCAAAGAAATTCACAAGATGAAATAACCAGTAAAAATAAAAATACAAAGGGCTTTAAGGTGCTGTTGAGTGGCTTCCAATTTATAGCACCACAATAGGGTTTCTGAGATAAGTGAGCAGAGATTTGAACCCAAGCTCCCCGAGTAATGGTCCAACAGTCTTTCCAGTATATCATGACAGGCAATATTAAATAAAGTTTTTTAAAAACGTGATGCCCAGCAATCAAAATCCCCTCCCTCAGTTACTAAAAACCTATCTGGGGTTTTTTTCCCCTCCATCCTCAACTTGAACTTGAATCTTAGCCCTGCTTCAGGCCTCCCAAATTCAGGGAGTGAGCCCAGTGTACATGGTGGACAACATCAGCATGTGTGACCCCCTCATTCAATACACAGTATCAAAGTAATACATTGCCTATCAGATTGTATGATAATACCACTGAGAGAAAATGAATCACCACCAGCACCACCATGGGATCCAGTGATGCAGGAATGCTTCTCTGTTGCCGAACAACTGGACTGATCACCATACCTGCAACGCCTACTGTAAAACAGAGGGTACAAAGCTTCTTGAGGATGCGAGCAGCCACACTCAGTCCTATAGACCTCCCTGAGATCACACTGCCACTGAGTTGCCGCAGGACCTGCAGCTGTCACCAGTGTGTGGGAGCAACTCCAGTGGATCTCTATGGCGCAGGAAGATGCTGGAGCACACTTTTATACCACACTGCCCTAAGACTGCATATCAGAACACCTCCCTACCCATGGGGAAAGGAACAGAAGACAAAGCAGGAAGCTGTGGCAACTTTGCTCATGCGGACAGTGGCAAAGACCACAACCACCTTTTTTTTTCATGGCAAAGGGAGCAAAGAATGCCACAAAAAGAGGTCGTGGGGACAGCACACAGGGCAGGTGTTTGTCCTCTCACCACTTTCAGGGTAAAAAAAAGAGAGAGACTGGCCAGAATGCCTTCACTTAACTCTATCGGCATAAATGTACAGTGGTGCCTCGGTTGACATTAATCCGTTCCAGTGAAATCACTGTAGAGCAAAAACGTCGTAAAGCAAAATAAAAAAGCCCACTGAAAGGCATTGAAAACCGTTCAATGCATTCCAATGGGCTGAATAACTCACCATCCAATGAATATCCGCCATAGGGGCCGCCATTTTCGGTGCATGTATAGCGAGGAATCCGTTCAAAAACAGCGGGGAGCCATTTTGAGCAGCCGGCGGCCATTTTGAAAACCCAACAATCAGCTGTTTTGATCGTCGTAATGCGAAGAATCGGATCGCGAAGCAGGGAACCGATCATTGGGAAGCGAAAAAAGCCCATTAAAATATCATTTTGCGATCACAATTGCGATCACAAAAACATCATCGTGAAGCGGATTCGTCGTTATACGGGGTAATTGTTAAGCGGGGCACGACGAGCGCACCAACAGCACAGGCATTTGGTAGATTGCATGACTTGGTTTCTCCCTTTATCTTAAGACTAAGTAACAAATATTTTTATTGGAACTGTTCCAGTTAAGACCAGCAGGTGCAGGTTCCCATATTACTGGTATTATTACCTACCAGAAAACGATGAAATATTTTCAAGACACATAAACTGGCACATTTTCAAGATACATAAACTGGCACAGAGTGAAAGAAGAGGACACATTATGTAAATTGAGAAGCATTATTTGAAAAGATGCCATGTAATCTTGTGATGCTACAGTGCCAATAGTATAAAAAGAAGTTCCACCAACATTCCTGACAGCCAGTTATGTTTTACAGCAGATTTCCTACATTCAGGGAAGAGCTGAGACCCAAGAACACACCACTGTTTTTAAGCAGCCCAAATTGTGCGTTCCTACTTACCATTTCTTCTATGTAAGGGAAAAGCATGTCACCAAAATATTCTGTGGATTCTATTGGAAGTTGAGCTGGCAGGTTGTCAATAGAGCACATCAAAATCCCAGATCCTTCCACACTGGAAGAAAGAGAAGCTTGATTCTATACCATAAGTACTTTACACACACCATTCTCCCAGTCTCATGTCCTCCACGGGATTTTCATTAGGGTAAGATAGCAGGGAATAAGAAACTTTCTCTCTCTTTCAAACACACACACAAAGCCCCTTGATCTGGCTCTTAAAACAATTATAGAGAGAAAGCTCTCTGGTCCCTCATTTCCCTCCCCCCCAAAAGCTGCCTCTGCCTCTACAGAGTATTTCTGGAGGCCTGGAAAAACACTACTCAACAGTAGGAGTTTTTAAAAGGTAACTTCTATATACACTTGGAGGAGCCTTGGCCTTATTCACCACAACTAACTAAGCAACCTGAAATAATTCCTCGGCTGGTCTTGTCAAGCAAAAACTAGCAAAATGCAAATAAAAGAGACCCTCTCACCTGTCATGGATAATGTGCTGATCAGCATCATACATGGAGAAAGGCCTGTCAATTGCTGTACATTCTGTCATAAATTCTATAGAACCTTCGGTATCAGCTGAGATGTCACATATTGCAACAAGTCTAGAACAGTTGGTTTAAAAATTAAGAACAACACAGATGCAGTTATGATACTATTTTCAACACATATGAGATACCTATACAAACTGCTATAAATTGGGCCAAAATAATTTAAACGCTAACCAGACAGATTCCTAGAGATGGATTTTGCAGTACACTGGTCAGAATCCAACTGCGGTTTGTGTAAAGTCTCCCTAACTTGCCATGGCTAAATACAGCTAATTGGGTTCATCTTGGTTAGGCAGATAAGCATGTGGCACCAATTGGCTGGAATTACCTGTGACAAGTTATGAAAACCTGAATGGGATCCTGGCCATTATATTTCAAAATCTTTTTGTGGCAGAAAGGCAAGGTTTAAATTAAATACAGTGGTGCCTCGCATAACGAGCGCACCGTTTAACGATAAATCCGCATTGCGATGCGGATTTCCCCATCGCTAATGTGAGGGCATGCTCGCATTGCGATGGTGGAACAGCTGTTCGGCGGTTCTAAAATGGCTGCCGGACACCCAAAATGGCCGCTGGAACACCCAAAATGGCTGCTGGTACACTCAAAATGGCCACCGGTACCCCCAAAATGGCCACCAGAACACAAAAAATGGCCGCCAGGACACCCAAAATGGCCACCGGAAGACAAAAAATGGCCACCAGGACACCCAAAATGGCCACCGGAACATGGGGAAACATCAGAGAACGGTGAGTTTTGGGCCCATTTGGAACACATTAAACGAAGTTTAATGGGTTTCCCCGTTCTGCTTAACGATGTTTCCCCATAGCGAAGGTTAATCCGGAACGGATTAACCTCGCTATGTGGGGCACCACTGTATTGACCAGTTTCCTACTGAGTTTCTGCTGAGCAGCATGTCCCACCAGTGTAGTAAAACAGGGCTGGGTTGCTTGCAGAGCCACTGCCATTGCTATTCACGTGAAGGGGAGAAAAAAACACCCACCCATTTTACTCATTTGTCAACACCAACGTTTGCACGAATAGCATGATCTTGTGTTACTCAAGCTCAATAGGACATGGATCAGTAAAAGCAAAAGGACACTAAAGTTGGTCACTTCAGATTGAAGAAAAAGCACAGGGCCATAATCCCACTGAATCAGTGAGCCTACTCTAGTGCAACTGACTATACAAAGCAACAGAATTTCAGCCAATGAAAATTAATGGCAGGGAAAACAAGGTACCAATCTGGACAAGGAAGCATTGGTAATATAAACAGATAACATGGGTTGTAAATATTGTCACAAGGCTCTCAGTTGTTATTCTAGCTTTAGAGATCAGTCCAGTATAGGTGGGGTCAGAAGGTAATTCAGGATCTACCTGTAGGTTCCCAAATATTTTCAGCTCCTGATTGCCAAATCTCTAACAAGAGCGAAAACCAAAAATGTTTTCTCCAGGTCTCCTCTCAATTAGGCAATGAACTGAAGAATGTTTGGAAAGTGGGGGAATCAGGACTAGGCTTTGTATGAAAGGAGTGTTAAATTCCGTTCTGGTATCTAAAGCAAATGCAGTGTTTCTTAGTTCTACTAGATGTACTCTATGTACAGCCTGAATTCTAAAGGACAACATTTTGCAACATTGGACTTTACCAGTCCCTGTTGCTCATTCCATGCAGACTTTCCTCTCCAGGCGAACTGGTTTCAAATGGTTCTGGGTCAAGAACAGCACAGAATATGATTTACACAAAGCGTGAAGTTCCATACATTTTATACGGATAATATGTTAAACATTTGACATCACACATATCCGTTAATAAGTTCAAATTGAATTATTTAAGAAGAGTATTATTATAGATTACTGGCAGGAGCCAGACTTCCCCTTCCAGGAAAAGAAGACATTCTTTATCTGGGGAGGGAAGTTAGGATTCAGAAGAGGAAATGGGTCAAGCAGTCACCATTGTCAGTTCCTCTTTTCTCCCACAGCACCATTTCCCACTCTGATTTGGAAGGTTAGGAAACCCTCCAACACACCATGGGAAGCAATGCTGGGTGTCTGGGAAAAGAGGGAGAATTGGGGGGAAATTGCAGCTCTGTTCACTTTTTCCTGTGCTATGAAATTCCGCTAAGTGTAAATCTGGACTGAACACAATATATCCCATGCCGGACCTTGTGCTCATAGCATATCCTGTCAAAAATGTGAATTCTTGACAAATCAAAGCTTCCGTACTTGTGCGGCAATTCAGGGCAGCCCTCGGTAGCAGCAGCTGAAGGCCGGAGCAGAGTCAGAAGTCTCCGAGCATCCTCCCTGTTTAGCAGCCGGGGGGTATCCTGCTCCCAGTAGATGCCATTAATCAAACAAGTCGTATAGGGAGCAATCTGTAAATACAGACACCATTAACAGGTAAAGTTAGCTTGATATATTTGTGTAGTTTAAATGCACCCAGAACGACTCGGCAAGCAGAAGGCAATGCGGAACATGGCTATTTCTACTGCTGATTGTACACCTCGCCTTCCTCTTGTCATGGAACACCAGGAAAATGTAGAAAACTACCCCCGACATGGGAGATGGACACAGGGAGCAGGAGATCAGGTGTCACGAGCCAGTGGATTATGTTTCTTAGCATTCTGTTCCATGCACACACTACTCCCGCCCCATTCACACATTCAACAGAGAGGAGAAAGTTATTTTTTCTTCTTTTTCCAGAATATCACAAGCAGCTGTTTCAGTGGTTAGGGTTTTTGAGGAGGTTATATTTTTAAAAGAACAAAAGAAACAGTTTTTCCTTATCTGCAGACAGATCATTAGGCTGGGAAAGAAAGGTTAATCCTCTTTTCCTTTACATGTCATTGTGTTTTCTTCAGCTTACATTTCAGCTCTTTCAAAGGCTGGGGGAATGTGATGTCCATGGGGAAGAGGCATGCAGGAAGGGCTAGTCTTACTTGCCATCCTCCTCACAAAGGTTTACAGTCACCCCAACACAGAAAACCAACCAGCAACAGTCTTGAAGGGGTGCCACTGAGTTACACCACACCGTAGGGAGCAGGGATGTGGCAGCAAAACCCTTAGATGCCTGCATAGGCCACACTAAAGGCTGTGGGGTGGGGTAGGATACTTCAACATGCTAAAAGCTTCTAAACTGCAGAAACTAGATGTCATACTCACATCAGTATTAAATCGAGATGTGTAGATTTCTGGATGCTTGTCATATTCCACTGGGTCATACACCCCATCACTCTTCCTTACCAAATGGTGGTGCCGACTTATCACCGTTGCATATACTTTCCTGAGGTCTGTGGAGGAGTAAAGGAATTAAGAGAGCAATAAAAGACACTGCAAACCTCCTAAGGCATACCACCACCACATTCCCTTTAGTACCTCCAGTTCTGGAGACCTCCTTCAGCTCATGGGGCTCTACAAACTCAGCAGGCAGTGCACAAAACATTTCTTGGGCACCCTGCAGATCAAGATATTATTAGGATTTAGCCGATAATACAAGACACTGGGCAACCAACACATACTACCCAGAGCCAGCGTGGTGCAGTAGATGGTAATATAGTGCTTAACTTGGACCAAGAAGACTGAAACCCAAATCTTGGAAATCTGGATATCTCATCATGCAGCACCAGGCAACATTCTCTCTCTCTCTCAACCTTTGTCTAATTCCACCACTTTTTTCTCCTCACTTAGGCCTTCAACAGTTTCACCCCATTGTCTAATTCCACCACTTTTTGGTCATTTCTTCTCCCCACTTAGGCCTTCAACAGTTTCACCCCATTAACTAAAATGGACAGTGCTTTGCCCAAGGCTGGCAAGAAACAAGCTAGTAGACACAGTCAGTGACTGCAGATAAAGATGAGCCATAGGTGGATTTCAGTCCCCAAATTCTGGTTTAAAACAGCATCCAGTTCTGTGGTTGCTCAGTGGTAGAGCACATGTTCTATGCGCACAACGTACTAGGTTCATCCCCTGGCTTCTCCAGGTAATTTGGGAAATATTCCCATCTGAAATCATGGAGAATTGCTGCCTGTCTATCTCAACCACCCTTCCCCAACACAGTGCCTTCCAGATGTTTTGAATGCCAGTCTCCAATATCCCTGGCCTTAGGGGAGGACGAAAGTTGTACTCTAAATCATCCTGAAGGCAGCCTATTAGAGAAGGCAGATATATTGAACTAGACAAACCAACAGCTTGATTCAGAATAAGACAACTTCCAACATTCCACCAGTCACCGGGATTCTGCAAAGTGAAAGGCCTATAAGCTCTTTGAAAATATGTGTTGGTCATTCATATGTAATATTTTTGTTTCTGTGAGGCAGTGAACTAATGCATTTGAAGAATGCTTACCTGAGAGACATTACCAGTACCTGTAAACACAAATGTTATGGGCCCGATAGATTTCGGCATCAAGCCTAGGGAAATTTCATAGCCTGCATCTCGAACTGCTTGCACAGCCTGGCTGCTGTTTCTGTAATTATGGGCCATACCTATGTGCTGAAATGCAGAAAGGTAGGATATTGCCATCAAAACCTAACAGACAGGTTAACTGAATGTCTCCCACCCTTTTGCTAGCAATAGAACACCTAGCCTTACCATGAAAGGAGTGTGATGTCCCAGAGCAAGAAATCGTAATCCCATTCCATGCAAGATGTTGATTATACCTACGTTAGAATTACAGAAGACACAATGCTTGAACCTACAATAATAGCACTCAGGTGACAGAGAGAATAGATCTTTCACCTATGGATTCTATAGGGCCTAGGATGCATGCAAATGTCAATCCAACCTCCTCAGGTCAGGTGGCTTTCCTGGCTCCAAATTGCTCCGTCCCCAGTATGTCATTTGAAAGAGGGGCAAGGAGCACAGCAAAGCATATGTCATTCATGCTGATGGTGTGACAGTGAATCTCAGCTTCTCTAGTTAAAACTCCCCAGTATGTCATTATGTCATTCATGCTGATGGTGCGACAGTGAATCTCAGCTTCTCTAGTTAAAACAAGAGGCTAATAATAACAAATCTGCCTGGGACACTGGAAAGCCATCTTCAGTCTACTGCAAGGTTCCCTCTAAAGAGCACACCTGTGTGCAACTCCACCCCCACGCAGCATTCCTCCGCTTCCTCCATGCATCCCCAGTAATAATTTTCAGCCCCTTTGGTTCCACTTAGGACAGAACCTTGGGGAGGGGGAGGCAGAGTCACATGCACAGGGGCAAAGTTGTGCACTAGTGGGGATGAAAATTAGAGGGAATGTTGGTCTACTGTTTGACTGAATAAAGGCAGCTTTTCTCGGTTACCAACTTCTCACAATTCATCTGTGAACCCACCTAATGGTGGCACAGCACAAGACAAACAATTCCAGATGTCTCATGGTGCCCATGAATATGGAAGCAATCCCATTCCTCAGATCCCTTGATTACTACCTAAAAGCATTACACCTAGTTCTGTGTAATGCACAAGACAAATAATAACTTCACCTACCTGCAACACCAGCCCACTTTCCAAAGGCTACAACTCGCCTTCCTTTGTGATCCACCATTTTCTCATAATCAATCAGTCGAATATTCTGAAAACAAACCCAGTGTAACACAGGTGACTTCTCATATAGTCTATGCACTTTAGTGTACTGAAAATCCACTTTCACAGCAATTGCCTACAGCACATAGATAGATAGATAGATAGATAGATAGATAGATAGATAGATAGATAGATAGATAGATAGATAGATAGATAGATATTTTTAAAAAAGCAATTCACTCCTATTAACCATTAGATTGTTGAGGGAGGAAAAATTAGGAGACTTATGAAGCTGCTTGTTACTTCTTCTCTGACAGAAACAAAAAATCTTACCTGTTAAGAGAATGAACAGCATAAAGCTTGGAAAACTCTAGTCGAAATGCTCCTGAAAAAAACCCACTGCCCTTTAAATTTAACTACAAAATATTATTCCTTACAGGCTGACCATGTGATCCCACTCACTGTGATATATTCAAAGTGTAATGTCATCCCACCCCCATTACCTGTTCCAAAAAAAGCTCAAGTAAGTTTAACTAGAGATCGCAGCACTGCCGGCTTTCCTGCCCCGAGTCTTCATCTGAGTGGCCAGTCGTGCTGAGCAGGCAGGGAGGGAAGTGTGTGGCACCCACACAACACCTGTACAGGTGCAGTGACAAACTGGGCCAAATGGCAGCTCGTGCCCATCTCTACTTGCAACTCACTACTTTAAAGCTCTAACCCCCACCTCTTCAACAGAGATTTGTACCTAACACTTGGGTACAAAGGATTAGATCCAGCGTGAGGTATGTGACTTCTCTGTCCCCCTCCTTCCTACCTCAGCCCTTTCAGTCTCCCAAAAAAGCTTCAAAGAAGGTGGGGAAACCATGCAGAAGGGGAAAGACAACAGAATAGGGAAGAGAGGATTTCCTGAAAATCAGGCAAGTGCAGCTCTCTTGACTAGACCTCAGTGCATAGAAGCTGGCTCCACATGATTTTTTAGGAACTCCCTTTTCCACCACCTAAGCTGCACCGTATCCTCCTCCCACCACTAGTGTAGCAACTTGGAAGAACTGATATTAGGAAAATGGGGGATGGAATTTCATTTGTTTACCTGAATTCTATCAAGCCCACTAGAAATTGTATGGGAGGCCAATGGGGTTCAGTGTTAGAACAAGGTACAGTGGTGCCTCGCAAGACGAGCGGTTCGTTTTACGACAAAATCGCATAACGACGAAGTTTTTGCAATCATAAAAGCGATCGCAAAACAATGTTTCCTGTGGGTTTTTTTCACTTTGCGATAATCGGTTCCCTGCTTCGCTAACCGATTATTGCAAAACGACGATTTTCACACAGATGATCAGCAGTTTCAAAATGGCCACCGGGTAAAAAAAAATGGCCGCCCGCTGTTTTCTGGGACAGATTCCTCGCTGCACTGGCAGCGAAAATGGCCATGCTATGGAGGATCTTCGCTGGACTGTGAGTTTCAAACCCATAGGAACGCATTAATTGGGTTTTAATGCATTTCTATGGGCTTTTAAAAATCACTTTACGATGTTTTCGTTCTACAGCGATTTCGCTGGAACGAATTAACATCATAATGCGAGGCACCACTGTACATGACTGATTATGCGACTCAGTTCCATCTCCCGCTAGTTCCAGTCAGAATGGCCATTAGTGAGGGATTATGGAAGTTATTATTCTAGTATCATCTGCAGCAACACAGTTTCACCTCCTTTTAGTTCCAATAGGACAGTCAAGGGTGTGCCGGACAAACCAATCCCATGCAGATCTATTCCAATGCCAGCCTCACTGAGTTCAGTGCAGTTTGCTGCCCCATCAGTGTGCATGGAATTGTAGCTATAATCATTTCCCTTGACATTGAAAATGCAAAACACTGATTGGCTAATTCAACTCCTTATGGGGGAGTTTGCTTTTTTAAGCTACTAATGTGCATGTTTCATTGCTTGTCATGGAAAGCTAATATTATAGCTCTGAATAGTCTTACAGTGCTAAGTACTATTTCACAATGCTATTGCAATGAACACGGACACACAACACACTTAAGTAAATACAATAGTACCTTCCTTAGGATCTCATCCAGCAAGGACATATTTGCCTCCTGAGCTTTAATAGTATGAGAGAAAAATGCATAGTTCTTGTTAGGAATAAGTTTGTCCTCTGGAGGTCTCTTCACACCAATAATTAGGCAGGCCTCCGAAATGTCTTCCTGGATAATACCGCCAGCTTTTATGTACTCCTGTGAACAAGGCATTGAATTAAAATGAACACCTTGAGCAAAACAGCATAAAGGCAGAAGAAATTAAAATAAATCCCACAGATGTAGCGTTGTTTCTAATCTGATCACCTGGGGGAACAGGTACTCTGATCCTGACAACAAGGAAGACACAGAAAAATACTACGTTGTCTGTCATTTTGGGCCAGAGGGCACGCTCTCTTTAACAGAACACGACTACAGTATTTCAGAAACTGCCATTTTCATGGTAGAAGGGAAGAACAGCCTTGTCCAATCAGTCACCTTGCAAATGTGTTGGACTATAGCTCCCGTTACCTCAACACTAAAAGCGGTTGCAATTATTGGAGTCCCAAATAGCTAGGGGGAATCAGACTGAGGGAAGACAGACTACAAGCATTTATGCCAAAGCATTCTGTGTGTGAACTACAGTCTTCTTATCTTCTGCAGCTCCTGTCCCTTCTCTCCTAAACTGTTCTTTCCTCCTACACACTCCTCCCATCATTTCTAAGTCCATCTGAAAATCAGCAGACCAATAAGCAGAAAATCCATAGCTGAAGCATTCCAATTAGGTAGACACCCAGCCTCCGTTAAAAAATAAAATAAAACTCCAATGAAGGAGAGTCTACCATTTCCCAGAGTCAGTCTATTCCACTGAAGAGTTCTCATTCTTAGAAAGTTCTTCCTAATATTTAGTCAAAATCTTCTATGTGACTCTGGATTCCATCCACTGAAACTGCAGAAAACAGGCTTGTCCCATTTTCCACATGACAGTCCCTAGTGCCTATCTCAGTCCTCTCTTCTCTAGACTAAATATACCCAATGATTTTATCAAGCAAGCAAGCAATTCATCCATTCCTCATAGGACTTAGTTTCAAGACCTTTTACCATCTTGGTAACCCTCCTGTGGATATGTTTGAATGTGCCTATTTGACATGCAGGGCCCAAAGCATGCTGCCCACCAATGCTTCTCAACCTTTGGTCCTCCATATGCTTTGAAGGGCCAGCCAACCTGGCCAACGGGCAGGAATCTTGGGAGCTGAAATCCAGGCCAGGATGACAATTGCTGTTGGACACTATACTTCCTTTTCTTGTGGTCAACAACATGTAGAAAAAGGCATTGATACTTACTTTTTCATGGATGGCCCTCCGATTGGATGGTTGCACCAGAACTTTGTATCCCAAGTTGGTTAGCAGTTTGACATGCCGGGGTGCTAAAGGGGCCCTCCTTTCCCAGGCACTGACATCCTCCCTTCTGATTGCCAGGACAGATTTATGATAAGTCTGCCACCTTGTAAGATGGCTCACAAATCTACTGCCTCTTTGTTTGAATGGGCGGAGCATGACAAAAACCTGACAGTGGCAAAAACAAAGTAATGAATGAACACAGTGTAAGATGCTTAGAAACAGCTGTGTGTTGCCAGAAAACATCAACACCAAAGCCTTGTGTCCTCAGAAATCTGCTGTAAAACTCAGGCAACTCTGATTTCATATGCTAAATGATGCAGAAGATGTTACTGTGCATTGCCCATAACCATGCTAGTATTTTCAGCTTTCTTAGACCAACCCCACCCCTCAGCTCAAATATGCCCTTCCTTACGAAATGAGAATATGAAGTGAAAAGATAAGAACCAGAAAAACAATCAAAACACACCACAAAAAATCATATCAGTGCCCCATATCACTAAAACCCAAGATTCCAAGCAGCATAATTACTTCTGGAAGAACGGGAATACCTGAACTAAGCCGAGCAACTCTGTGGAATTAGGACTTTGCAGGAAAAGAGGTGCAGGAAAGAACAGAAAACTTCACAACACACTGTTGGCAGGATTAATCAGAATTACGACAAACTACAATCCCAATATTTGGCCTACTCTTATTCAGAACTCTACTCCACATATATTTGTTATATTCCAATGTGAAACAAATATTTATGTTTAAGTATTAATAACCCTATGGGTTCACTAGCAATCAAATTAGAGAATACAATTTATAATAATGGAAGAATAGGCAAACACAGGTTCAAAGGCACAGCAAAAGATAACAACTCAAGTTCAATTAACTCTTTTTAAGCCTTGGGAGACATAAAAAGGTGAAAAAACACTGAAGTGTCAGTGGAACACTTGTGAAACACTTGCCCCCCTCCTTGCTTTGACAAGAGAGTGCCTGGAAAAGGCCTTCGAAAAAGGATCATAGTGTACCGATGAGTAGACACAGATGGTCCTTCACAAGCCCAAATTCAAATGAATAAGGTGCCTCAATGCAAACGTAACCCTGCATCATGAGGAAAGATATGAACCTTTGGCAACACCTGGAGCACTTTTAAGTTACAGTCAGAATAGGATACTTTTCCAGCAACCTTACACAATTGCAGCAGGTGGTCAGAGATTTGGACACTTTGTCTGCTTTTGGGGGGCAAGAAATTTTAAGAATATTCAGAAGAAAATAGTTACTTATTCATACTAATCATTTGGTATCACTCTGTAAACACAGGGAATGTCAGCTGTGATGGATCACAAGCTTAACCGTCCTGAAGTACTGTACTATAAAATTTATGGGTGCTCTGAAGTCTTAAAGGAGCTGGACTCAATGATCCACAGCTCTGCAGTTCTAAGATTACTTAGTTCAAAGGGTCACATTTCTTGACCTAACCTTCTTTACTTTCTTGCTTTGCAAACAGCAACAAGCAGTGCCTATCCTTCCCATTCCTGCAGTGACCTACAGCAACGGTGCAGGAGAAGAACTAGAATTTGCTTACATAATCCCTGAACAGTGAGCTGTTATCAACTAGCAAGAGTTACCTGCCAGACATCAAGAGAACACAGGAAGAAAAGTGATAACCAGCTCAAGAAAGGTCAGGGGCCTCAGGAGTTTCTTTTGCATTGACAACAGGCAATGCAGTGGGAATGACTGATTAAAACTGGGTGCATGTGGGATACTGCTGTTCCTGCACAGAGAAGCATTATCCAACCATCTGGAGAGCTGTCAAACAGGAGAGAGCAAAGACTTTTTCTTCAACATCCAGAAGGCAGGACTAGATCTAATCTGCAGGAGTACAGGTATAGGTTGAACTTTAGGAAAGGCAGCATAACAATCAAACTAACTAACTGGAAGTATAAGTGGGTTCTCTCTAGCCGGAGGTCTTCTGACTGAGTTTCTTGCACTGAGCAGGCAAATTGTACTAGGTGACCTACATGACCTTGGAATGACTGATTAAAACTGGGTGCATGTGGGATACTGCTGTTCCTGCACAGAGAAGCATTATCCAACCATCTGGAGAGCTGTCAGAGCAAAGACTTTTCTTCAACATCCAGAGGGCAGGACTAGATCTAATCTGCAGGAGTACAGGTATAGGTTGAACTTTAGGAAAGGCAGCATAACAATCAAACTAACTAACTGGAAGTATAAGTGGGTTCTCTCTAGCTGGAGGTCTTCTGACTGAGTTTCTTGCACTGAGCAGGCAAATTGTACTAGGTGACCTACATGACCTTGCCTCCAATGCCATGAAACTCAGGAGAGGATAGCAATGGTAAATGTCTTCTCAGACATCTCATGTGCCATGAAAACCCAATTAAGGCTGCCTTAAGTTTGAAGCAACTTGGCAGCATATAAACAGCACCACACCTTTTTCCCTTTGGGAATTTACAAGTCAAGAGGAGGACTGCAAGGAAATTAGATCTGTAATCTAGTTTTCTGTTTGTGGCTTGCTAGCATGCCCAACACAGTACTCTTAGTGTTATTACCTATTGGAACAGACATATAGGAAGAACAAGGTACGCTTGAAGTTTTGATAACTTGGCACTGCAATCGCCATCATTGTAACTATTGTAACCACTGTAACTATACACAGAATGCTAGCAAGGTTAAGGTATTGAACTCTTAGCCACTCTTGTCTCAAATAGACCTATCTCACAGGGTTGCTGTAAGGATGAAGCAGAGAGCCATAAATATCACTTTGAGCTCACCAGAGGAAGAGCAGGACTCAAACATAAGAAATAAATAATATATATCCACAATAAGGTTAACTTTATATTTTATTTCTTTATTTAATTTATACCCCACCTATCTGGACTAGCAGACCACTCTAGGCGGCTTCCAATACAAAATAAAACAATAAAACACAAGCATGAACATGATAATTCAATAGCAATTACAATAAAATAAAAAATAGGGGGAAAGTAAGAAAAGAAATCGAGTTGGCTAGAGGGAAGGCCTGGATGTACAACCATGTTTTTAATTGGGATTTAAAGATGCCCACCGTAGGGGCGCACGAATCTCGGGAGGGAGATTGTTCCAGAGGCGAGGAGCCACCGCCGAGAAGGCCCAGTTTCGTGTCTTCTCTTTCCGGGCCTCTCTCGGCATCAGGCTCCTCAGCCTCACCTCCTGACTCGCTCGGATGATCCGGGTAGACCTTGGTGGAAGCAGGCGTTCCGCCAGATATCAAGGTCCTAAACCGTTTAGGGCCTTGTAAGTAAGCATTAAAACTTTTAAGTCGACGCGGAAACGAATGGGTAGCCAATGCAGTGCGGCCAGTGTTGGAGAAATGTCTTGATATTGTCTCACTCTGGTAAGGAGTCTGGCCGCCGCATTCTGCACCACCTGAAGTTTCCGCATCGGCCTCAAAGGCAGCCCCACGTAGAGCGCATTACAGTGGTCTAATCTTGAGATTACGAGCGCATGCACCAAGGTAGTGAGTGCCCCGTGTCGAGGTAGGGCCGCAGCTCGGCAATCTGCCAAAGATGGAAAAAAGGCGGTGCGGACTACCGAGGCCACCTGCATTTCCATGGTGAGCGTCAGGTCCAGATGTATGCCCAAGCTGCGGACCCCACTCTTCGCGGCCAGGGTCACCCCCCCCAAACGTGAGAGAGTCACCAAAGCCGCCAACCACGGGATCACTCAATTCTAAAAACTGCCGCCCCTCTCAAAAAAAAACAATAGTTGTTCTTTGATGAGCAGCTGACAGAAAACTTTGCTGGAACAGGGTCACTCAATTCTAAAAACTGCCGCCCTTCTCAAAAAACAATAGTTGTTCTTAGGTGAGCAGCTGACAGAAAACTTTGCTGGAACTACCCCCTTTACTAATGTCACCATAACCAGCTGCCCTACCCTTCAGTTCAGGAGAGGTTTATAATGTCCTCTCCCTGCAAAGGAGACACCACCATGCTATGGCTGTGGCCTGGCATTCCCTTGGCTTGGAGGATTCGCTGAGAAGGGAAACCTCAGTTAAACACCACTGATACAAGACTGTTACAATGACAATTTGTTTACACCACAATGTACAGACTGCCATTCCCAAATACACTGACCAAAATCCTGTTACTGTGCATAGTAGATAATCCTAAAGTCGGTCCAGTTCAATCAGAGGGGATTTGGTGAGGCAACTCCTCCAAAAATTCCATTGATTCAACTGGGCCTGCTCTAGTTGCTACTTACAACTAGAGTCACAATGAGGCCCTTTTGAATCTATGGAACTTACAGAAGAATTGACTGATTCAATGGGCCTGCTCTAATACAAATATGATAAGCAAGAGAATTTCTGTAATTAGCAGAAGTCATATAGACAGGATGTTTTTATTTCCTGTCACATGGACAGTTTACCATTGATAATAATTGCTCAATAGGAAGATAAAGGCCAAGAAATGAAGATGCCAATCCTAAATCTAGAGTACTTGTACCAGATTGGAAGCAGAGTATATATTCAGCATACAGCACAAAAATGAAAGTAAAAAAGAACTGGAGACAGTAAGGTAGGTGGCATATTTATGAATAAAATGGGAGTTTTAAAAAAGGGAGGCTGTCCTGTTTTGATCATGCTGGTTATGACTGCAAAGCTTTTCATTTGCATAAGAGCCGATTTACAAATCTCACTGATTCAATGTGTTCACTGTGTGTGGCTGGAACTACCAACTGCATTTGAAGTGCCAAAACTATTTTAAGTACTGTATACGGTTGGATTATAGTCAGTACAGTACTATCTAATCAGCAGCTAATGCTGAGAACAATGTCTGCCTATCATACAAGCAAGATAAAAACCGGTTCCTTCAAGCTAAAAATCTCCTCAGTTCCCAAACCCTAGGAATTTGCGGGGAATGGGTAGGGGGAAAGGTGGGGAAGCATAAAACACACACACATACACACGCACACACAGAGGAAAACGGAGTTTCTTCGGCCCACAGCCGGCAGAAGGCACAACCTGTTCTCCTGGCATGGTTATCTGATTCCCAGTTGATGAATAAGAACAGTAGCTAAATTAAGTTTCCCTAAGCTTAAATTAGACTGCTGATGCTGAAAAAAAAAACTGTGGGAACCAGGAGCAGGTTTGGGGTGGAACTCTGAGCACCTTTTACTTCCAG